TCATATGGACCCACAAAAGACTCTGAATAGCCAAAACAATCTTGAGAAAGAACAAAGCTGCATCCATCACACTTTCTGATTTCAAGTTATACCGAAAAGCTATAGTAATCAAAACAGTGTGGTACTGGTATTAAAACAGGCACACAGACCAACAGAACAGAGTAGAGAGTCCAGAAATAAACCCATACATTTACATTTAATTGATTTTCAACAAAAGTGAGACGAACACACAATGGGATAAAAGTCTCTGCCATAAATAGTATTGGAAAAACTGGATATCCAGATGCAGAAGAATGGAACTGAACCCTTACCTTACACCATACACAAAAATCAACTCAACCATGGATTAAAGACTTAAACCAAGTAGGAACCGAAACCATAAAACTCTTAGAAAAAAATGTAGGGAACAAACTCCTTGACATTGGTCTTGCAAATGACTTCTTTTAATATGACACCAAAAGCACAGTCAACAAAAGCAAAAATAAATATTTGAGAACTACATCAAACTAAAAAGCTTCTGCACAGTAAAGGAAATAATCAACAGAGTGAAAAAGCAACCTATAGCACAGGAGGAAATGTTGGCAAACTATATAACTGATAAGTAGTTAACATCCAAAATATTTAAGGAATTCACAGAACTCAGTAACAAAAAACAACACAATTTAAAGATGGGCAAAGAACCTGAATAGACATTTTTCTAAAGAAGACACACAGATGGCCAATAGGTATATAAAAAGGTGCTCAACATCACTAATCATCAGGAAAATGCAAATCAAAACTACAATGATATATTATCAATTCACACTTGTTAGGACAGCTGTCATCAAAAATTCAAAAGATAACAAGTGTTGGCGAGGGTGCAGATAAAAGGCAATCCTTGTACACTCTTGGTGGAAATGAAACTTGGTAGAGCCATTATGAAAAACAGTATGGAAGTTCCTCAAAAAAATTAAAAACAGAACTACTATATAATCTAACAATCCCACTTCTGGAGATACATCCAAAGGAAATGAAATTAGTATCTCAAAGAGATATCTCCATTTCCAGATTCATTGCAGTATTATTCACAATAGCCAAGAGGGCCAGGCACGGTGGCTCACACCTGTAATCCTAGCACTTTGGGAGGCCGAAGCAGGTGGATCACATGAGGTCAGGAGTTCAAGACCAGCCTGGCCAACATGGTGAAACCCCATCTCTACTAAAATACAAAATTAGCCAGGCATAGTGGCACATGCATATAATCCCAGCTACTCGAGAGGCTGAGGCAGAAGAATCACTTGATCCCAGGAGGCAGAGGTTTCAGTGAGCCGAGACCACACCATTGCACTCACATTGTCTTGTTGCCATTGCCTGGGCAACAAGAGCAAAACTTCGCCCGAAAAAAAAAAAATTCCAAGATATGTAAACAATGTAAGTGACAGATAAATGGACTAAAAAATGTATCATAAAGAGATAACGGAATACTATTCAGACATTAAAAAGAAGTAAATCCTGCCATTTGTGACAACATGGATGAACCTAGAGGATGTTATGCTAAGTGAAATAAGTCAGACACAGAAAGAAAAATACTATATGTGCTTACTTATATGTGGGATCTTTACAAATCAAACTCATAGAAGCACAGAGTAGAATAGTGGTTACCAGGGGTGAAGAGGCGGGAGAAATAAGGTGATATCAGTCAAAGGGTACAGTTTCAGTTACGTAGAATGAGTAAATTCTAGAGATCTAATGTAGAGCACGAGGACTATAGTTAATAATACTGTGTTATACAGATGAAAATCGTTTAGAAGGTAGATCTTAAGTGTTCTCATACAAGAAAAAGATGGTAATTATGTGAAGAGATGGATATATTAATTAGCCTGACTGAAATCAGGTCACTATGTATATGCACATTAAAATATCAGGTTGTACACCCTAAATATATATAAATTAAAAAAAAAAAACAAACACTTTTTTTGAAACAGGTTCTCACTTTGTCACCCAGGCTGGAGGGCAGTGGCAGGATCTCAGCTCACTGCAAACTCTGCCTCCCAGGTTCCAGCGATTCTCCTGCCTCAGCCTCCCAAGTAGCTGGGATTACAGGCATGTGCCACCACACCTGGCTAATTTTTGCATCTTTTTGGTAGAGACGGGGTTTCACCCGTTGGCCAGGCTGGTCTCAAACTCCCGACCTCAAGTGATCCGTCCGCCTCTGACTCCCAAATTGCTGGGATTACAGGTGTGAGCCACCGCATCCAGCCCTAATTAAAATTTAAGATAACAATAGAAATACAATATTCAACTGCAGTCAGAACTGTAGCAAGGATGAGATTGTCAAGAGAGTGTTCCAGACGCAAACAGAATCCAAAAGAAAATATTCCTCATACCTTTGGCCATCCTGAGCAAGTTGAAGGAGACCTAAAAGTTTAAAAATTTAGTTACATGGATATTGGGGGCCTGCCACCTCCTTTTATGAATTACTGACTTAAGTTATATACTATTTTAGATCATTAAACTTTTACAATAGATCTGTGTAACAAGAATGGTTGAAAGACATGATGTGTAATAGGAAAACAATTCTGGGTGTATCAGAGCAACAGGCATTCTAAGTATTCCACACACAAGCATGTTAGATAAATTCATATATTTGTAAAATCCTTAATCAAGGGTTTTCGTGGTAGTGATAGACAAGACAGCACAAAGTTACATAAATACATCAGAACTGTATGTTTTATGTACAATATATATTGAGTACTGAAGGAACCTCAGATATCATCTAGTTCAACTTTTTTCCCATGGATAAAGACATAACACTCAAAAAAGGTGAAATGGTTTGGTTTTTTCTGTTCAAAAATAAATTAATGGTTAACTCTGGATCAGTGCAACTATGAATAATTTTCTTTTTCCTTTTTTCTAGAATTATTCTATTATTTTCATAATGAGAATAGTAAGTTATTTTAGGAAAAAAAACCTTTATCTTCTGTTAAAATTTATGCATTTACCTGAACCTGTTTGCCAGGTTGTATTCAGTTCTCAGTTTCTAAAGCCTTCATCTCACCGAGTATAATAGTGTATGCCTGTAATCCCAGCACTTTGGGAGGCTGAGGTGAGGGAATCGCTTGAGCCCAGGAGTTCAAGACCAGCCTAGGCAACATAGCAAGACCTCGTTTCTACTAAAAATTTTAAAATTAGCCAGGCATGATGGTGCAAACCTATAGTCAGTCCCAGCTACTCAGGAGGCTGAGGTGGGAAGATTGTTTAAGCCCAGGAGTTCAAGGTTGCAATGAGCTATGATCATGCCATTGCACTCCAGCCTGGGCAACATGGCAAGGTCCAGTCTCAAAAAAAAAGATTAAAAATGTTAAAAGTCCTCATATCACCTCAATCCCTCAACTGAGATGTCTTAACTACTAAGTAAGTACAAGCTCAGTGTCTCCTCAGAGTCTAAAGCCAATTGTAGGAGCTCTGGCAAAGAAACTTATCCTTACTAATCTTACTAATTGTCCATACCCTAATTCTGGTGAATGAAATATATATTGATAATGTGTCTAATAACACAGTATCTATAAGAATAGGAGTGTACTTTGCTCTTGAAAACTCCATGTCCCAAGAAAGTCTAGACTAGGCTGCCAGAAACAACATAGGATGGCCAGTTAAACCTGAATTTCAAATAAGTAACAAATTTTTGGTATAACTATGTCCCAAATATTGGCTGTGACACATACTAAAAAATTCCTGATTACCTGAAATTCAGATTTAACTGGGCATCCTTTATTTTTATTTGCTAAATCTGGCAACTCTACCTGGACTCTAAACCTGAGGATTAGACCTTTAACCGGTTCAAAAAACCTTCAGCAGATTACCAACTGCCTGCATGGATTTTTAAATGTTCTCTACTCCTGGATTTCCTGTTGTATCCCAACAGTCTGACAGATCATGTATTAATTCAAATCGTAATATCCAATACTGGCTGCCTGTCCAGATTACAATCTGTTACCTAATTCTCTGTCTAGTGCTTGTCAGAATGGATTTTCTTCTAGCACCTGCAGTTGGAACAATGTCTCTAAGAACCATCCCAAACCATGAACAGGCCTAGTTTTAAGGCCTTGTTATGAAGAAACTTATGGACTGGTCCTGGGGAAACTAGCATGAATAATAAAATCAAAACTAATTTTTAAATAAAGACATTATTTCAATGTATTTATTAACAACTATATAAAAAGCTTCCCCTTTTAAAAAAATACGGTATCTTTATATAATAAAAATGAGAATAGTATTAACTTCATAAGGTTGTTGTAAGGATTATTGAAATAACATATCAAAGCCCTTAACAGTGACTGATTTGGTGTTGTTTTCCCAGCACTTTATTTCCAAAATTATTTCCTTCAATATTGCCATTTATCCAAGGCTACTAAAATACAACCAAGAAAAATCCATGTTCTTTTTCTATCTATTTTTTCATACTATTTAAACATTAAACTTTGGTCCTTACGGCAAGAACCCTCAGCATCTTTTTGACTATCTTCTTCATTTCTTGAGCCCCTAGTATTGCAGATGCATATGCATCTCAGCCTCCATTTTTCCTTCTCCTTCCATTCTGTTTACCTTGAAGCTGACTGTCTTATAGGATAAGACTGAGCACTCTAATTGGTTCTCAATTCCTAAATATAACCAATACTAAGATATGATTCCTGTCTATCTATTGTCAATGAAATCATTAATAACCCATAAGCAAAATCATAAATTCATAGAAATGAATATTATCAGAAATTTCATTATCACATTGAGAATCTTTTGAAGCATAATCACTGTGAAATTTTCATATTTTTTAAGTTTTACATGCATGTTCTAAGTTCTTTCATAAAACATAACTAATACTGCCATAGTTATTATTTATAGAAATTTCCTAAATGTAATTCTGTCTGAGAAACAAAGAAAAAGTGAAGGAGGAGGGAAGGATGAAGAAGACGACAGGAAAATGAGAAGGAATAGAAGAAGAAGAAAATTTTAAGTAGACTCACCTCCAACCACCCTGGCTTCTTTCAGTATTTGATTGAATAGAGTTAAAGATAGAATCTTGACTTCTCAGAGGACGAGGAACTGAATGTGGTATTTGCCTTTCAAGGGAATATGTCTTGTTAAATATTAATAGTTTGCTTTCAAATTGAGGAATTAAGATATACATAGAAGAATAACATCAGTCAGTAACAGACACACATCCAATGTTTTGTATTTCTGCACATACCCAGTGTCCACTGTTTTCATTACAGGAGCCAACTCTGCATTCATAGCTTCCCAGGCCCAATCTCAAAAGATATAAGTAACATAGATAAAAGTAAGATAGGTAGTATTTTTCAAAATGATAACTTCACACTTATTTAATTTTGGGGGTTTAAAAACTTGAAGAAGAAAATAACTTGAATATATGGACTTCTTTGACAATACTTTGTTGGAAAACCTGTCACAGCCTGCTTTATTAATTTTTATAGATGTCTGTCTTGTTCATTGTATTTTAAGCAAAGATAATTTAATCTGTATCTTTTCTACAATCAGTTCTAGTATAGTATCTTTAACTTTGTAACATGAATTTCATCTAATCCAATGTTTATTGAACTTTTTAAATCCCACCCACAGAAAGAAATACATTGTAACTCAGAACATGTATATGCATGGCATATGTGTGAGATACAGACAAACAGAGATAGAGAAAGGAGGAAAAAGAATATAAAACTTCACCATCAAATCTTATCCTTAATATGTGTGATACACTCTGACACAGTCATGTGTCACTTAATGACAGGGATACATTCTAAGAAATGCGTTGTGAGGTGATTTTGTTGTGCAAACATCATAGAGTGTACTTACACAAAGCTGGAGAGTACAGCTTGCTACACACCTAGGCTACGTGTTACAGCCTATTGCTCCTAGGCTACAAACTTGTGCAACATGTTACTGTACTCAATGCCATAGGCAATTGTAACATAATAGTATTTGTGTATCTAAACATATCTAAACATAGAAAAGGTACAGTAAAAATATAAAAGATAAAAACCAATACACCCAAGAGGGCACTTACCATAAATGGAGCTTGCAGGACTGAAAGTTGCTCTGGGTGAGTTAGTGATTAAGTGGTGAGTGAATATGAAGGACATTACTGTACACTACTGTAGACTAAACAAACCATACATTTAGGCTACTATATATATATTATATTGTAGCCTACCGTAGCCAATTTTATAAATTATATTTATAAAAAAATAAACTGTGCTATGACATTATGACAGCTACTACGTTATGTCACTAGGAAATAGAAATGTTTCAGCTCCATTATATTTGTAGTGGCACCACCATCACATAGGTGGTGTGACTGACCAAAACATTGTTATGCAGTGCATGGCTGTTATTTTCTATTCTACTCTACTTTATTGTCTTCTTTCTTTTTTCAAAGATCGATTATATCCCAGACCGACTAAGGAATCAAGACAAAAGTTTTTTAAAAAACACTGATGAGGCCCTATCTCTTACACAATATAGGAAAATTACTATTTCTGACAAATGGTAACCCTGGTCAGAGCTTGAAGTACTTCAGGAGGACACACATTTGCTTATGGAATAGCTCAGGTTTTCAAGGTCAACATTCATGCTACTTATAAAAATATTATAAATTATGAAATATTTTTTAAATGGTGGAGTATGACCAGATAAATGCCCAGTTGTGCACATCCATGTGAATTTATCATTTTTATACACAAAAATTGGAAACATATGAACTTCATACCTAAAATTCTTCAAATATATCTTTTATATATTTTATTTTCTTTAAACAAAATAATTACAGATTTAGAAGTATATTAAAGTCTGCGGGAGCACACTGGATTAAATTAACAATACAAGTATTGCCATGTAAGAGATATTTTTAAATTCTAGCTATATAAGATCCTATTAATGATTTTTAAAATGTGCCCTCAAAATGTAAATGTATATAACCAGCATGTACCACATATATTTCAGAATGTCTGCCTGCCCATTCCTCTTGCAGAGGAAAGTAAAAAGTCAACAACAACCATTAAGACCTCCCAGCACCCACCAAACCTCAGCTAACTGGTTCAGAGATAAATTACAATTTTCTATAATCCTAGTTTATATTTCCTGAAAAATTTTACCTTATTAATTTTCTTACCTGTAGGTAGAGGAGGAAAATCATAATTGTCAGAAGGGGTACTGATACCTGGATCATCTTTAAGTGGATTAGAAGTTAATGGCTGTCTGTTCCTCTTTTTCTGATTGAACAATGGAACAGGCAAACAGCCTAAATTGAATGTACCAATAAATTAGTACATAATAGACAAATAAGCAGATCTAGTTGTAAAATAATTACTAGTATATAATACACACTTTAAATGTATCTACTTCTATATGCTAATATACTTATAGATTTCTATAACCTTGGATTGACTTTTCCATTCTTTTTAAGATCCTGAATAGCCTAATTTGTTTCTTCAAAAACTTTTTCTTATTCTACCCTAACAGTTTTAATTCCTCTCATATGGAAGTAATTCCCATCTCCTCCCTCATCCCCCAATCTTTCCAAATCCACTTTTTTTTTTTCTTATCCCCCTCCTGTGCTTGCCTGTTACCGTATCAACTGCAGGGGACCTTTAGAGTACAACAGAGGTGAGGAAGAACCAAACTCTGAACCATGCTTTGGACAATAGTAGCACGCCCTTTTGGGCCTTGGTTCTCAAAGTTTCATTGGACTAAGATTTATCTGGAATTCTGCTTAATGTGCACGTTCCTAGACTCTACTCTCATAGACTTTATTTCAATAGATCTAGCCTGGAACTCAAAACTCTGCGATTTTAACAAGCACCCCAGGTGTCTGTAATTATATATTTTGTCAATCATTTTGAGAATGCCTTAGAGAGTAATAATATCCAGTCCAAATGAGAATAAATACTACTACTAATTCCTCCAGATGGTGGATCTAGGATCTCAATTCAGGCCAAAAGTCACAAAATATAAACTTTAAAACTTAGGGAACTCGAAGGGAAAAGAAGTTCAGATAGCTTGTGCATTGCTATAGAGCAAGTCAGTGGAAGAATCCCGATAGGACCCAAGATTCCTAAATATCAGTTCAGATCTCTTGCCACTGTACAATTCTCTAACTGGTCATCATTAATTGTTCTACAGGCAAACACAAACTCTGTGAAAACTCTCTGATTAAAGGCTGGGAGAATTATATGGGCTCTGGAATCAGACCACCGGGGTCTGAATTATGACTTCGAAGTAGGTTTGCATTACAACTTCAGAGTATGATCTTGAGCAATTTCCCTAAACTCTTTGTGCCAATATGACATACACTGATAGCATAATGATTAAGAGCAGGGACTAAGGGCCAGATTCCTAGGTTCAAATTCTGATTCTGCTACTTCATGGATTACTTATTTAACCTCTTTTAGCCTTGGTTTTCTCATCTGAAGAACAGAAATGATTATAATAACCTATCTCAGAGTACTGGTGTAAAGATTAAATAAATTAATATATATAATCAATGTCTTGAATACAGTTAATCCACCATAAATAATAGTTACTATTATCTTCATTATGCATCATCATTCCCCTTGTTCTCATCATCCTTGCCCTCTGTCTTTAAACTAATAAATCGGGAAAGCAAAAATGATAGGAGAAGCTATTAGAAAGACAGAAGTGCTTCTGGAAATATTTTTTAACAAGTCAGTCACAAATACAAACAAAAATAGATCTATTTCTTTGTTTTCCGTTGTAAAGCGTAGAATAACTCAAGCACATCAAATTTGTAGAAAGAACATCAAAATAAATCTAAGAAAGTTTGATCTTACTCCCACCTCTACCACTAAACGTTTTGTCTTGAGTAAGTTATTTTACTTCCTTGGACCTAAAAAGAGGCTAGATTAACTGTTCAATCTATTTTAAATTTATTTCCAATGTTATATCTATAAACTATACAAGCTTTATATGCTATATAGAAAATATAGAAAATTTAAAAATAAAAAGTTGTTCAATACCTGCTGTACTTCGAGCTGAATTTTCATTTAGGCTTCGCTTCATTTCCTTCAATATCAAAATCTATAATTTTCTCTTCAGCATTCCAAATTTATGACACTGTCCCACCAGACCTACAAAGAAAGAAACTTATAACTCATATTGTCTCAACTACAAAACCAAATCCTCAGCCCAGTGATTACTGAAATTATGGTTTTAAACTACTTTCAAACCTGATCATGTAAACACTTTAGGGAGTCCTTTGCTTTCTAAGAGTTTACAACATAATCCACTTTTCCAACTCTGTTCCAATTAAGTTATGACTAGGGCAACTGTAACCTTGCTTCCTAAACATATGGCATTTTTTCACACAGTGTATGTAATTTATTTCAGAATCCAGCGCCCACAAAGAGAATTCTGAACCAGATCTATAAAGAAGACAATGGACCACAGCGTTGGCAAACATACATGCTTCCAACGCCAGGGAGGAAGCACAGTATTTAGCCACTGGGAACTTTCTCCATGCCCTACTTTAAGGCATTGTGCAGGTCATCTGCCTTTGCATCAGTTTGAAACTCCTGGATTATATAATACCAAAGACTAAGTCTTCCTGAGGTCAGGAGTTCAAGACCAGCCTGGCCAACATGGAGAAAGCCCATCTCTACTAAAAATACAAAATTAGCTGGGAGTGGTGGCGGGTGCCTGTAATCCCAGCTACTCAGGAGGCTGAGACAGGAGAATCGCTTGAGCCCAAGAGGCTGAAGTTGCAGAGAGTCAAGACTGTACCACTGCACTCCAGCCTGGGCAATGAGGGCCAGACTCCATTTCGAAAAAAGAAAAAAAGAAAGACTAAATCCTCCCTTCATATCCAGAATAAGTGTAATGACAAGTGTCCACCCCATTTCCACAACTTCAACAAGTGAAACAAGTTTTTCCTTAGTTTTCTTCTTTTACAATAGAATTTCTCCTGTAATTTTGCATGTTTAGCCCCCTAACACATTTCAACCCCAATTTAATTCAACAAACACTTGCCCACTGCATGAAGAGGTAACTCCTGTTCTAAATTCACGACCTAATGAGACAGAGAGACGGACACATACACAACTAAGCAATAATGCAAGTCAGGCCAAATAAAACTTGGGAAACAGGCCGGGCGCGGTGGCTCAAGCCTGTAATCCCAGCACTTTGGGAGGCCGAGGTGGGCGGATCACGAGGTCAGGAGATCGAGACCATCCTGGCTAACACGTTGAAACCCCATCTCTACTAAAAATATACAAAAAACTAGCCGGGCGAGGTGGCGGGCGCCTGTAGTCCCAGCTACTCGGGAGGCTGAGGCAGGAGAATGGCGTGAACCCGGGAGGCGGAGCTTGCAGTGAGCTGAGATCCGGCCACTGCACTCCAGCCTGGGCGACAGAGCCAGACTCCGTCTAGGAAAAAAAATGGAGGGATGGAGGGAGGGAGGGAACGGAAGGGGAAGGAAAGGAAAATATTCTTGGTGCCATCCTAGGAGCCACAACAGAGATTCTGCCACTTTCTCTTCCAGTGCCAACTCACATCCTATATTTAGAGGGGCTTATGAGGGCTATCGTGTTTCTTAGGATCAAGCAAACAGAATCAACAACAACAAAAAAAAGTTTCTAAGTGTCACATTCTCCCCGCGGGACCATTTATCCCGAGGGCGGGGTCCTTCCTCTACCCGCAACCCCAGCTTCCAAATGGACCTCAGTGGCGTCAGTAATGGGGCTGGTGGCATTCGTGTGCAAAAAGTGTGCTCCATCTGCACACACACACCACCACCACCCACACCACCCACAACAGCCACAACAGCCACGGCCTCAAATGGCGGCCTGTTGTGGCTCCTGACGGGGGCGCGAGAGAGGAGGCTCCAGTCAAGTTCAGACGCTCTTCCAAGGGCCTCTCCTGACCCGCCCACGGAGTGGGGGCGGTTTGGAATCAACACACAGTCTTTCTCCTCTAGACCCTCCTGACAACACGACGCACAACTCTCGCCCTCAGTCTCCCTCGCCTCCGTCAACTGTCGTCCAGGCAGCCCCCGTCAGCAACGGCCGTTCTCCCCGCCTGCGAAGAAACCGCGGGCATCAGGCTGTGCGCATGCGCCGCGGACCGCGCAGGCGCAGTGGCCGCCTCCAGGGTGCGATGGCGTCGTCGCGGCCTCCCTGGCTGCGTTGGGCCGGGCGCGATGACGTTAACGCGCTTCCTGGGCGTTCTCAGCTGTGGGCGCAGGGATGGGTCCAAATCCTTACAGTTTGGCCCAGAGAGGAAAGGGGACTGTCCTGTGACTGGAGAGACAGGGGCCGATCTCCTGCCCAACGGCCCCAGCCCCAGCATCGTCCAAAAAGTGTGCCCCGCTTCCTCCGCACCCCCTGGCCCTTTCTGAGGGTCCAGACATCCGTTTGTTAGATGTTGGTGGCCACCCAGAGTGTGCCCAGAGATTGCCTCGAAGGCCACCCGAGGGGTCTTTCTCCGTTTCTGGTTCGGATCAGGGTCAGGGAATCTGAGTCCCCAGGAGGCTGGGAACAAAGCTGAAGCCCGGGTTCAGATGGCGGCCATGGAAGGCGGAGAGCAGTCAGCGAGGCAGGGCCGGGGCTGCGGGAGCTTGCGGGAGGGAAGCGCCCGTGAGCCGCAGAGACGCTCTGCAGGGGCAGCCGCGTGGTGGGCGACCTTGGGCGTTGAGCTCCAGGCTTCCTGGCAAAGAAGACTGTGGATTCCTGGCCCTGTGACCTTGGGCAAGTTCCTTACTGAACACCCTCAGGACCTACCAGTAAAAATACAATAACAACAATCGCCCTGAAAATACTAAAAGAGGAAATAGACGACCCTGGCACACAGTAAATGCCCAGTAAATGTTAGCCCTTATTTAATACGAATAACAGTAGCTGTCATTTATCCGGAATTTACTATGGGCCAGGTAGTGGATTGTAGTTCTGAGTTCAAAGACCGTGTTTTGTTGTTACCGTATCTTCTAACCATTTGAAGACTGGGATACGGAAGGGCTCGGAGATGAAAGGAAGATTTGTTAGGAAAGGCCTAGGCCTGTAAGACCACAGATATTTTAGTAGTTGCTTTGAAAACTAAAGTAAAGAAGAGTGTTAGAAAATAGGCCGGGCACGGTGGCTCACGCCTATAATCCCAGCACTTTGGGAGGCCGAGGCGGGCAGATCATGAGGTCAGGAGATCGAGACCATCCTGGCCAACACGGTGAAACCCCGTCTCTACTAACAAAAAAAGAAAAAAAAATTAGCCTGGCATGGTGGTGGGCACCTGTAGTCCCAGCTACTCAGGAGGCTGAGGCAGGAGAATGGCGTGAACCCGGGAGGTGGAGCTTACAGTGAGCCGAGATCACGCCACTGCACTCCAGCCTGGGCAACAGAGCGAGACTCTGTCTCAAAAAATAAAAAATAAAAAAAAAGGAGAGTGTTAGAAAATAATATTAGAAGTGACCGAGACCAGATAATAGCAGACCTTGAATGCCAGAGTAAGGAATAGCTTTCAAGGAATTGGGTCATCTTTTGGGAAGAAGAAGACTTGAAACAATAAAAATAAAACTTGTTATTTATCATGGTTCCAGAGAGGAGTTACCCAAAACATGAATAGAAGCTTCAGGGAAGCAGATCTTGACTTGATATCTACATACATATGTGCATACATTTACAACATTCCCCTACCCACCCCCAAAATAGATTTTTCATTAAAAAAAAAAAAAACCGTAAGCCAGTTACTTCTGTAAGAACTGCGGAAGTGAGCAATATAGAATCTTTGCCAGCAGTTTATAAACTTAATCTATTTTATACTTGTCTTGCTCTGGTTATCATTTATTTCCACCTGGAAAGTTGGCCAGGATGGGCCACAGGGAAGGAGAAAATTAAAGTAGTAAAAGTAGTTTGATTACATAACTATTGAACATCATATTATGTATGAGATATCTTAAGTATAATATTTAACAAAAAACCTTTCTTATCCCCCAATCATACTATTAGGAAACAACCCACCTTAAATTTGTCTCCTACAAAATTTCTGGCAGTGACCTACTGGACAGCCATGACTGTGAAATAAAACTTTGCTCTGCTTTTGTTTTGTTTTGTTTTGTTTTTGAGACGGAGTTTCGCTCTTGTTCCCCAGGTTGGAGTGCAATGGCACGATCTCGGCTTACTGCAACCTCCGCCTTCCAGGTTCAAGTGATTCTCCTGCCTCAGCCTCCTGAGTAGCCAGGATTACATGCACCTGCCACCACGCCCAGGTAATTTTGTATTTTTAGTAGAAACGGGGTTTCACCATGTTGGCCAGGATGGTCTCGAACTCCTGACCTCAGGTGATCCGCCCACCTCGGCCTCCCAAAGTGCTGGGATTACAAGGGTGAGACCACGTCCGGCCTCCTTTTGTTTTAAACTACATTATTTTATTAATACATCAGGCAACTCTATCCCACAAAAATCTGTAATGCTGGAAGTTATGCTTACTCTTTTAAGTACTTCAGCATATTATTATATTCAACTTTATAATGAGATAGTGACAACTTGAAAGGGTTTCACTTCATATACTATCAGTTCGCTGAGAACTAATAAAAAAGTGTGGCTTTTGTGGGTCATCCCGAAAATCAAGTACACTTTGGGAAACAGGGAGTTAAAAATCTTTCGGAAGTTAACTTGGTATAAGAGTATGAAAAGCCTCTGTTGCTCTAGTTCTGAGGAAATGCTCTCCTTTTTCCTAATAAAGCTTTCCACCGAAGACAAACTCTGTACACAATAAACAAGGTAAGTATGGGAAATAATTGCTCCAATTCATTAACTCTCAAAAAAGTTATTCATTTTGACATGTAAGAGAAACTTTATTTATGAATGTGAAATGTGCTTCGAAGTGCTGATCTGTTAAAATTCCATAAAACAAGCTTCAAAATGCAAGTCATTTGTGCCAGCTACGAGTAAACTGAAGCAGCATTTCCAGAGAGACTAGGGCAAAGGACAGCACAAACTGCAAATCAGCAGAAAAGAAACCAAGCATAGTAGAGTGTTAATAATTCACCATAGTTACTGCTCTTAAAACCAAAGCAACTAAACAACTGTTATCTGTTTACTTTCACGTGTGTTTTCATCATCTCTGCACCGTCTGAAGTGTTCAGTGTACATGGATGTGGACAGACAGTCAAAGGGTACAGGAGCTTTTTTTTTTCCTATTAGAACAGTCATTTTAATATGTAGATTTGATTTGGTTATTTTGCTTTCTCTATCTCTGCATTTTAAGCTCTTAAAGGAAGAATATTCAATTGGGTTTATTAAATATTAGGAAGCATTCGTATTTTATTTTTCCACCATGTATTTTGTTTGTATGCATGTTTGTTTTCTGAACACACTGTAATGGCTGTTTATGTGAATTCTGAAACAGCAAAACTAGAACTGTGAAGAAGACCAAAAATAACAGAGAGGCATCCTATTGTCCTGTAAAAAAACACTAGACTTGGAATGAGAAACATAGGTCTCAGGCCTGGTTTCTCCTACATCCCTGCAGAACCTTCACTGAGTTACTTAACCTCGCTTTCTTTTTTTTTTTTTTTTTTTTTTTCTTTTTTTTTGAGACAGAGTCTCGCTCTGTTGCTGGGGCTGGAGTGCAGTGGCCGGATCTCAGCTCACTGCAAGCTCCACCTCCCGGGTTTACGCCATTCTCCTGCCTCAACCTCCCGAGTAGCTGGGACTACAGGCGCCCGCTACCTCGCCCGGCTAGTTTTTTGTATTTTTTTAGTAGAGACAGGGTTTCACCATGTTAGCCAGGATGGTCTCGATCTCCTGACCTCGTGATCCGCCCATCTCGGCCTCCCAAAGTGCTGGGATTACAGGCTTGAGCCACCGCACCCGGCCAACCTCTCTTTCATTTACCCCTGCAGTGGGGATGTCAACACCTAACCCACCCTATCGTATAAAATTAATGTATGAATAAATGGAGTGGAAGAACATTATAAATTAAACTGCTGAGCAATTGTAACCAATTACTCTTATTGTACCCTCTATCACACAACCTGGCATTACTAGTACATGGTATTTCCAGTACTTGAACATATTTGACTTTCTGGGTGATTGAGCATGAAATCAAATCAGATTTGGCTCAGAGTCATTTCTCCAAAGGGATGTAATCATCTTAGTATTCTGGATAATTTCCCCTAATAAGACCCCCTTTCGAGTAACACAGTCCAGTGGAGAGTCCCTGCTGACAGTGAATTAGGCCGTGTCTATGAGTTCACATGATGCGGCTAGCACACGCAGTGTGTCCCAAGACATTTGCAGGCATCACAAAGACTTGAAAATTACTAACAGTTGTCTTTCCTTTGGTATTTAGGTAAAAAAGTAAGGAAGATTCATAAGTAAGTTAACACAGAATTACCAAAAATTTCATGAGAAAGAAATGAAGGGATGTTTCAGGGTAGTTTTTCAAGTCCCAAGTGATTACTGATTTGGCCCTTCTGTTTCTGACTGTGAAAAAGCATTCTGAAAGAACGGGTGCTGGTGTAAGAGGAGGTCTCTGAGGGTCAGCCTTTGGCTGTTCATAGAGGTGAGATTCAAATGCCCTCAGATCATGAAACACGCTTGAACTCATTTCAGAGAAGAAAGGTTTTGAAATGCCCATGGAAATACTGAGTGGGCCACTTTTTTTATTTTTTGAGATTAGAAATGTATAAACTTTTTTTATTATGACAGATAATTGTGAAAGCCTCACTGGACAACATCCTAGCTGAGGAAAAGAACAGAATTTTTGCATTAGAATGAAATGCGAATTTATTACTGTATTTAGATCTACTGACCATCTGAGGGAGTTAGAAGTTAAAGTAAACAGCTGTATCTCTAGTTGATCTTTGCATATTTTAATCCAAATATGGTAAAGGGCAGGGCTAAAGAAGACAGTGTCCATAAACGGGGCTCAGAACTTGTAACAGAAAATTAAAATATACTCCACTCAGGGGAATTCTGTACTTTGCCCTTTGGGTAAAGTCTCATTTTGATTTAAATTTCTAAACCTTTCTTAAGAAAATCACATTTCCTTTGATCTCTCTTCTGAATTGCAGAAATCAGATAAAAAACTACTTGGTGAAATGACTTCTTGTCACATTGCTGAAGAACCTATAAAAAAGGTTGCTATCTTTGGAGGAACCCATGGGAATGAGCTAACTGGAGTATTTCTGGTTAAGCATTGGCTAGAGAATGGCGCTGAGATTCAGAGAACAGGGCTGGAGGTAAAACCATTTATCACTAACCCCAGAGCAGTGAAGAAATGTACCAGATATATTGACTGTGACCTGAATCGCATTTTTGACCTTGAAAATCTTGGGTAAGACTCTGTTTTGTATTGTATATGTATGTCTGTTGTGTGAAAAGTGGTAGGTGTGTGAAAGAGAACACATATATGTATATGCAGATGATAATTCATGTCCATACGTGCAGTCGCTATGTTGAATAAGATCACTTTCACTTTTAATTATACTGCATTGTGAATTACACAATTATCTGAACTAGGCATTCACTTGCTCTTTTATAAACTTTCTTAAGCATCGGATTATTAAGTTTTCTTTTCAAATGTATACAGACCGAGACAATACATAGAAAAGGGTTTTGTTTTCAAATCATACCCTGAAAGAAACAGATTTAATAATCCTTTGCACTGAGTTAGTGTTTGGCCGCTATGCTTGTATACATAATTGTTAGCTTTTTAGGAAATTCACTACTACGTTTTCAAGCAACTATGTTTACGGTAATACATAAAGTTCTAGTTCAAAACATGTAATGTTGCTAGTAATATTTGTTGAAAGAAAGAGTGATTAAATATCTTTTGCCAGAAGACATCAGATATTTATGATCCGAAGTAGTAGACATACTTCACTTCTGCGATGGATTGTCATAGATGGGATGCCAGAGATAAGAACTCAAGACACTTCACCCAAATTTTCAGTGTTTAAATTTTGCTGATTTATAATATATTGCACACAACGTATGCAGTCATAACATGCTAGGTTAGGTCCTTATTGTTTTTGCCTTTGTTGACATCATCATAGCTACCACTGTAGATATAATATGCCTCCACATATTTGCTTTTTACCACGTCTTCCTTTTTTTCTCTTTTTGAGATGGAGTTTCCCTCTTGTCGCCCAGGCTGGAGTACAATGGCGCAATCTCAGCTCACTGCAGCCTCCACCTCCGGGTTCAAGTGATTCTCCTGCCTCAGCCTCCCGAGTAACTGGGACTGCAGGCGCCTGCCACCATGTCCGGGTGATTTTTTGTATTTTTAGTAGAGACATGTTGGCCAGGCTGGTCTCAAACTCCTGACCTCAGGTGATGTGCCTGCCTCAGCCGCCCAAAGTGCTAGGATTATAGGCGTGAGCTACCGTGCCCGGCCACTTTCTTTCTTTTACTAAAAAATATTATGAAACATCTGTTTTTCTCAAAACACTGTGCCAGGTACTGGGGGAGTGCACAGCTCTGTACAACATGGTTTCTACCCCTCAAGGAGTTGGTAGACTACTAGCTAAGATATAAGATACGCACAGGTACAACTAGCCACTCTGTTCTATGTGCTTGTTTTCTGATCAACTCTAATTTGAGTTAGATCATTCCTTAGGTTTAGTCTCACCACAGATCAAAAGATGGACACTACTCTTAATAGAAACATGCCTCACTTTATGGCATAGATGTTTTTCAGGGCACTTATACAGCAGTCATCCTGTTTGTATCAAATCATATTTTTGCTAGCATAACTTTTAATTTGAGAAATGCTTTATCTTTATGACTGAGGTTATGTCAACACAATTCATGCTTCTCTATTGACCTAAGATAGCTGTTAACTAACTTTTATATTACAAGTAAGAATTTGTTGAAGAATAACTTTTAGTCGGCATATTAACTTCCCAAATAGCTGTGGAATGGACTGGGGTGAGTTTATGAGCACCCAGTAGTATGCATTTCAGTGAGCACAGTCTTCTCAGTTAAATTCACTTTCTACTCCTTACTGTTAACACTGTTCAGAGACTAGACTATCCCCAGGGTGGTTAAAAAATTACAAAATAAACTAATTAACTTCTTCCATCTACCTCTCCCAAATTTATTCATTTTCCTGTATTCCTCATCTCAGTGGTAGCATCATTCTCCACCAAGTCCCCTACAAAAATCACCCTAGAACCTTCCCAGTGCTTCATCTCCCACGTCTAGCGGGTCACTAAGTCCTCCCAATTATTCCTTGCAAGTACTTCACCTTCCTCTCCAGTTTTACTACCTTAGTTGATTTCCTCTGTGGATAGTCAGAAGAGCCTCTTAAGAGTCTCTCTGCATCCAGACTTGCTCTGACCCTTCCTGCCATCTATTTTCCATCTGATACCTCTAGGAATCATCCTAATATGAAAATCTGATCATGTCTCTCCCCTGCTGAGGGTTATTTAAAAGTTTATCCAGAATAGATTTAATCAACTTAGTATGGCTAATGCCCTTCAGAATCTCACACTTCCCTGTTCTTCATCCTTTGGGACTCTTCCAATGGGAGCTCAACTGCAGGCATGAGACGTGTCCATCATTTTTCAAAGCTTCCAAGACTTGACTCCAAGCAACTGGGTAGATACTAGCACCATGTACTCAAATGGTAAAGAATGATAAAGAACCAAAATCGTTGGGGGCAACCTCAGGGGGTTATTCCATGAATTAACTTTTAAAATGTATAAAAATCCATTAGGCTTGGTTTGCATATAATAGGAACCTGAAAATAGTGGTTTAAACAAATAAGCGTTCTTGTTCACAAATAATAAATCCAGAGCTAGGCAGTCCAGGGTTCGCGCAGCAGTCACATGATATCATCAATGCCAAAGGTTCCCTCTACCTTCCCACTGCACTGTCTCAACATGCCAGCTTTGTCATCATGGTTTTTGCTTCTACAGCAGGAATTACCCTGTTGTACATAGTAGGTCCCTTGAAGATACGAGCAAAAATAACCAAGGAATACAAATAGATGTAATTTTAGGAAAATATGGTCGAATGGTTTAATGAGGAAAAGACAATTTAAAACACTGTAGCTAGGAAAAAAAATGTATCCTAACCATTGTGGGAAGTGGGGAGAGGATAGAGGCCTATTTGAGAATGGAAGAAAAGCTATTGGCCCTTGTGCCAGAAAAAATACATATATCTGTACCTGCAAACTTGTGGCCTTTGTGGAGAGGTTACGGACTCTGAAAATTCTGTCCCTGGACTTCTAGTGGTTCCTGGACCTCAATTAAGAATCTCTAATTAGGCCAGGTGTGGCTGCTCATGCTTGTAATTCCAGCACTTTGGGAGGCCAAGGCAGGGGGATTGCCTGAGGCCAAGACTTCTGTAACCACCCAGCAAGTTCTCCTTGTCCGCTGACCAGACAGAGCTGATCTATCAAGACAAGGGAATTGCAATAAAGAGTTTAATTCACGCAGAGCCGGCTGTACAGAAGGCCAAAGTTTTATTATTACTCAAATCAGTCTCCCTGAAAATTCAGAGATTGGAATTTTTAAGGATAATTTAGTGGGTAGGGGCCAGTGAGTCGGGAGTGCTGGTCAGATCGGAGTAAAATCATAGGGAGTTGGAGCTCTCCTCTTACGCTGAATCAGTTCCTGGGTGGAGACCACGAGACCAGATAAGCCAGTTTATCCATCTGGGTGGTGCCAGCTGATCTGTCAATTCAGGGTTTACAAAATATCTCAAGCCCTGATCTTAGGTTTTACAATAGTAGTGTTATCCCCAGGAGCAATTTCAGAAGGTTCAGAATCTTGCGGCCTCCAGCTGCATGACTCCTAAACCATAATTTCTAATCTTGTGGCTAATCTGTTAGTCTTGCAAAGGCAGTCTAGTCCCCAGGAAGGAAGGGGGTTTGTTTTGGGAAAAGGCTGTCATGGTCTTTGTTTCAAAGTTAAACTATAAGTTCCTCCCAAAGTTAGTTCAGTTTACACCCAGGCATAAACAAGGATAGCTTGGAGATTAGAAGCAAGGAGGAGTCAGATTAGATCTCTTTCATTGTAATAACTGCTGTCTCAGTTATAATTTTTGCAAAGGCAGTTTTAGTTCAAGACCAGCCTGGGCAACATAGCAAGACTCCATCTCCACAAAAGATAAGATTAGCGGGGCATGGTGGCGCACACCTGTAGTTTCAGCTACTCGGGAGGCTGAGATGGAAGGATTGCTTGAGCCCAGGAGTTTGAGGGTACAGTGAGCCATCATTGGGCCACTGCACTCCAGCCTGGGCAACAGAGCAAGATTCTGTCTCAAAAAGTTAAAAGGATCTCTACTTAGATTATGTGAGCCCCTAAGTGACTGCATTTGTGCACTAGAATTAGCTAAAGTAGGGTGAAAAAAGATGCATTTGATGCTCTAGTCCCATAATAAATAACCCAGTGTACCATAACTACTAAGAAACTGTTCATTAAATTAATGGTCGTGTTCAAGACTGAAATCAAATGACAAATTCTGTTTGATATGTCCTACCAACCACATAAATGAACATATTACTTTGCAAGCATGCCAATACAACATTAGTTATATGGAATCAAATGAAGAAAAAGAATGTAATTTTTCATATATAAACATTTCAGGTAAGGTTTTACTTCCCACACAGATTTTTCATATTAAAGATTTGGCAACGGGTTCTTTTTACACTGTGTTCTTATTATATGTTTATATTATCTCAGGCACAGATGTTGGTAATCTTTTCCTTTCCGCTTATAACAGCAAAAAAATGTCAGAAGATTTGCCATATGAAGTGAGAAGGGCTCAAGAAATATATCATTTATTTGGTCCAAAAGATGGTGAAGATTCCTATGACATTATTTTTGACCTTCACAACACCACTTCTAACATGGGGTGCACTCTTATTCTTGAAGATTCCAGGAATAACTTTTTAATTCAGATGTTTCATTATATTAAGGTAAGGTTAATGTTATTAATTTATAAGTTAGCCAAGGACTTGTCCTTTTAAGTCAACTACGGATGTGAAACAATCAGAAAACGGTTACGAGGGAAGGTGCGAGAGAAATGGGATTTATTCCACAGCCAGGCTTGTGGTTGGGGGAAAGGGTGCTGCCAGAACACAGAGGCAGTGGTGAGAGGAAGGAGAAAAAGAGAGGAAATAAGTAAAATAATAAACACAATTAACAAAGTACTAAAACACTTGTGGATTCTTGGGTCTATAAAATTACACATTTTATCCAGACAGCCATCAGATTGTGGGCTATTAGTTAAAACCAAGTAAAATTAATATTAAAAATGTAAATGGTATGGTCAATTTGTCAAAACCAGGTAAAATTAGTATTAAAACTTTAAATGGTATGGCATCTCAATTACAAGGTTTTAGGAAACTTAAGAAATAGCCCTTCAATGTCGATTAAAGCCCAGTGATAAAAAGATTGCCTCCCTTCAGTCCTGCCCTCGTCCCCATTTGATTTAGACACCCTAGAACACATCTAATCTTTCAGTGCTTCATATGGTTAATCATTTTAAGGCTCAGAAATCTCAGAGAAAATGTGCTAGAAAATAGCAACCAACCAGAAACACACATAAGGAACTGTATGCTTCTTTCTGTGTACTAGCCTTCTTTCCTGAGAGCGAGGATGATCGAGAGGAAAGAGTGTGGCCTGTGCTCAGACCCTCACTTTCTCCTTCACTAACCTTATGTAGCAGGACCAGCGGCAGACAAAACCCGGCAGACAAAACTCCTCAGACACCGAGTTACAGAAGGAAGGGGTTTAATCGGCCGGGGGCACCGGCAAGACTCCTGTCTCAAGAGCCGAGCTCCCTGAGTGAGCAATTCCTGTCCCTTTTAAGGGCTCACAACTCTAAGGGGGTGCGTGTGAGAGGGTCGTGATTGAGCAAGCAGGGGGTAGGTGACTGGGGGCTGCATGCACCGGTAATTAGATCGAAACAAAACAAGATAGGGATTTTCACAGCGCATTCCTATACAATGTCTGTAATCTACAGATAACAGAACCAATTAGGTCAGGGGTCGATCTTTAACTACCAGGCCCAGGGTGTGGCGCTGGGCTGTCTGCCTGTGGATTTCATTTCTGCCTTTTAGTTTTTACTTCTTCTTTCTTTGGAGGCAGAAATTGGGCATAAGATGATATGGGGGTAGTCTCCTCCCTTACTTAGACAAAACGCACCATTCCCAAAACCTTGCCTCCTTCATTTTATAAAATTGGTGTCATGACAACACTTACCCATAAGGGCACTCAAAGCCGTAAATGACATAAAGTATTTAACGCATTTAGCCTGATACCTAGCCTATAGTAAAGATTATTAGTTTTGTTTCCCTTAAGTTTTGGACAATAACTGGGTAGTGGTCCTGGTAGGAGATCATAATACAGCTATTCTTCGTTGCCTGTTGAAGAGAGAGCTGAATGCTTTGGTTGCCAGACATGGAAGCAGTATCGCTGACACTTTTGTTATCCAAACAAAGAGGCCTGTCTTCCGTTTTCATGCAGATGAGCAGGAGGACGGGAATCACCCAACATTTGTAGAGAGCTGGACCACAGGAAGAGAAACAGGATTGTTTTAAGAAACCAATACCAAGCTAAATAGTTAAGTGTAACCTGTGATGAAACAAAAATCACCACATCCATTCAGAAAGAACATTTATTTCATGCGTTTTGATCATGGTTCTGGAGAACTATTTAATGTACATTTTACCTGGAAAGACATTGAATAATTCAATTTTATATGAATTTTATATTGTATAATTTATTTGTATGTTTTCAAAGCTATAACAACATTGGGTTTTACAGTGTTTCACAAAGCTGTTTTGCCAATCTTAGTTGATGAAGTAAAACGTACTGAAGGTATTATTGACCCCGTTGAAGCAAAGAGAACAAAACATACGGTTTTTACATAATAAGAAAGACGTTTTCGATTTTTTTTCAGACTTCTTTGGCTCCACTCCCCTGCTATGTTTACCTTATTGAGCATCCTTCCCTCAAATACGCAACCACCCGTTCTATAGCCAAGTATCCTGTGGGTAAGTCATAGTTCCCATTGTCATAACTCAATAAAATATGTCCTAGCTGAAACTCAGAGAAATTTATTTTTTATTTTTATTTTTTGGAGACAGAGTCTTGCTCTGTCACCCAGGCTGGAGTCCAATGGCATGATCTCAGCTCACTGCAACCTTCACCTCCCAGTTCAAGTGATTCTCCTGCCTCAAGCTCCCTAGTAGCTGGGATTACAGGCATGTGCCACCACACCCGGCTAATTTTTGTACTTTTAGTAGAGATGGGGTTCCACTACGTTGACCAGGGCTGGCCTCAAACTCCTGACCTCAGGTGATCCACCCGCCTCAGCCTCCCAAAGTGCTGGGATTACAGGTGTGAGCCACTGTGCCCGACTGAGAAAATTATTTAAAAAAAAACATTTACAGCGACCTTCCATATCCTTAGGCTTATAATTGTCAAGTAACAAGAATTTAGTTCCAGGCAAGCTCTAACTGTAGCAAATTTCCCCAGTTTCACTGAGCAGCTTTCTGGTTTTGTTCATGTTCCCTTTGCTGTAATGTTTGGCCCTTCTATTTAGTCTGGCACAATTCTTCTCATTCACCAGATTCAGTTCACCTGTCACCTCCTATAGAACTTTCCCTGACCCCACTCTACAGCATTAATTACTCCAGAAATGTGTACATTTGACTAATATTTATAGTGTGCCTACCAGAGACCAACCCTGTGCTAGGTGTGGGGGACAGAACAATGAGCAAGAAACACAGTCTCCCCTCAAAGAGCTTCGTATCTGATGAGAAGACAGACAGGTAACCAAGTAATCACTGCACAGAGTGATAAATGCTAAACAGGGGCAATTACAGAAGACTGGAAAAGCAGGAAAGACCTAACCCAGTCCTGATGGATCACAGAAGGCCCGAAGAAGTGGGATCCATTTTGAGGTTGTGTGTATGTGTTTGGGGGAGGAAAGGAAAAAAAATTGAGAGCAGGCAACAGGATTCTAGACAAGTGTCTTGAAATTATCTGTGATGAGGCCGGGCGCGGTGGCTCAAGCCTGTAATCCCAGCACTTTGGGAGGCCGAGATGGGCGGATCACGAGGTCAGGAGATCGAGACCATCCTGACTAACACGGTGAAACCCCGTCTCTACTAAAAATACAAAACTTAGCCGGGTGCGGTGGCGGGCGCCTGTAGTCCCAGCTACTCGGGAGGCTGAGGCAGGAGAATGGCGTAAACCCGGGAGGCGGAGCTTGCAGTGAGCTGAGATCCGGCCACTGCACCCCAGCCTGGGCGGCAGAGCGAGACTCCGCCTCAAAACAAAACAAACAAACAAACAAAAAAAACACACACACAAAAAAAAGGAAATTATCTGTGATGAAAGGCCATTGTTTATTTCCAATCTGCTATAGAGCAATACTTTTGTAAAATATAATTTAAAAATGAATTTCTAGAAAAAGGATCACATACTTGAATGTTGCAGCAATGTCAAATTGCTATAAAAGTTTCTAAACACTTACTTTTACATCTGTACTTATCTTGCCTGGGACTAGTAGCCAACAATTGGTGGACCAGTCCTGGTCCTCAGACAACACTTTAAGGAAAACAGAATATCATATACAAAGGCCCCAAACCCCTAACTGATGACATGCCATGCTTGATACACTGTGTTCTCCATGTATCTTAGTACTCTGTGTTCCCTACCCGCTTCTGTGGGCTACTAATATATGTTTATTAAATATTAGCTCAAATTACCAGTAAGTACATAATTATACACACACACACACACACACACACACGATCATCATTCACAGTTGTTGTTGTTGTTGTTGTTTCTGGGAAAGGTTCTCACTCAGTTGCCCAGGCTGAGTGCAGTGGCATGATCACAGTTCACTGCAGCCTTGACCTCCTGGGCTCAGGCAGTCCTCCCATCTCAGCCTCCCAAGTAGCTCGAACTACAGGCACGTGCCAACACATTTGGCTAATTTTTCATTTTTTGTAGAGACAGGATCTCGGTATGATGCCCAGGCTGGTCTCAAACTCCTGACTCAAGCGATCCTCCCACCTTGGCCTCCCAAAGTGCTGGGATTACAAGCATGAGCCATCACACCTGTCCCTCATTCATAGTTTTACTCACACATATCCCACACAGACTCATACAAACTTATCCATTCCTTCCCACACAGGTTCTATAACTGTAACCATGTATAAAATACTAGCCAACCAGAGAATGGCTCGAACCCCGGAGGTGGAGGCTGCAGTGAGCTGAGATCATGCTGTTGCACTCCAGCCGGGGCAACAAAAGTGAAACTCCATCTCAAAAAAAAACAAAAACAAAAAAAATACTAGCCATCCAACACTGGTAATACATACATTCATGAGCTTGTCCGGAGTGGTCAGATTTGACTGGATCAGAAAGGCAAGGGATCTGTTTCTCCAAAGTACTTGTGCTACCAGTGACCTACTCCAGGTTGTTTTCTGACCCTCTCCTTATTAAGACCTGTCAAAGATCTGAGAAATTTTACCCGACTTACAAGCTAACCATTAGCCTAGCACCTCTGAGTGGATGCCAGTAGAAGACACAACAGAGACAAAGAATAGATTATTGACAGTAGTAAGAGCAGAGTGTCAGCATTTCTGCACCATTCCCCAAGCTCCAGTTCCCACAGGGTGACATGTAGAGAGCCAGATGGCAGCTATCCATGCCAGTGGTTGCATTCTAGGAGAGAAACCCTGAGCTGAGGGAACCTTCTTTTTTTTTTTTTTTTTTTTTTTTTTGAGACAGAGTTTCACTCTTGTTGCCCAGGCTGGAGTGCAGTGGTGTGATCTCGGCTCACTGCAACCTCTGCCTCCTGGGTTTAAGCGATTCTTCTGACTCAGCCTCCCAAGTAGCTGGGATTACAGGTGCCCACCACCAAACCCAGCAAATTTTTTGCATTTTTAGTAGAGACAGGGTTTCACCATGTTGGCCAGGCTGGTCTCGAACTTCTGACCTCAAGTGATCTACCCGCCTCGGCCTCCCAAAGTGCTGGGATTACAGGCGTGAGCCACCACGTCCAACTGCGAACCTTCATTTTTATAATGGGCAGTAGGCACAAGTGTCCTTTGCCCCAAGGAAGACCCCATCCCTAACTTCCAAGGCTGTTCACTATACAGACATCCTTGAAAAGATCATCTGGAACAAAAATAGTCCATGTCTTGCTCACGAGACTTGCAGAAATGCAAAAGATCCATGACGAATCCTCTCTCCACATCCCTCTTACCACCTGCTTTGCAACAGACGTTTCACTAGCTGTTTGTCATCTATTCACTTGTTTATCCTGCCAGTTACTAGGCTGTGATTTCATCTTTACCTTCTGGTAACTTCCAGCATGCAGCCCCACACTCTCAAACACCCTGTTTCTTCTCTATTCCATTATCTTTCCTGAGCGTCCCATTAGCATAATTATCGGCAGACTACGCTACAATTAAAATTACAACTGAAAATATTTTTTGCTAAATCTCAGATGGTTTAGCCAAGAGTAATTTAATTTAAAAGCAGGTTGGCAAACAATATAAATAAATAAAAATCTAAACTTATTCTGGATATTCAAGTATTGATACTTTGTGCATAATAAGGGGAACTTTATATGGCCATCTTTGGTGGTCCTATTGTCCGAACCAAAGATTAACTTTTCGATGCAAGATCTCATATCAGAGCAGAATATTTAGATTGTAGGACATGGCTACGGCAGTCAGTGTGGAGCTGAATGAACAATAATTATACAAATAACTTTTCTAAGTCTCAAATGAGACCACGGTTAATCTGAGAAAGTTAGGAGAAAGCTGTATCCAGTCACTCTCCCGTATTTGTGTGTGTGTGTGTGTGTGTGTGTGTGTGTGTTTGGATGATCATAAGAGTGGCTGCAGCAAACTGCTTCTTTCCGGAATAAGGTTTACCTAGAATGATCCTGTCATATTTCTTCTGCCTTGGGAACAGAGTACAAAGGTGCTCCTTGTAGGTGCCTACTAGAAGTTAAAGCAAAATTTGTATGCAGTAATATTCTTAGCGTATTATAAAATGTTGACTCAGAAAGATTGCCTCTCTAATGTTAAACATGCTTTTTTCCAATGAGTGCATGATATAAAAAATTCCCAATAAAACAGCAAAGTTGGAAGGAGAACATATAACATTTCTGATTATTTACAATGAGCTTAATATTCCTTCCTATTGAAATATTTTAAAGAGTTGGCTCAACTTGTAAGAGCCAAACATACGAGCAGATGTTTGTTCTGGCTAAGAGTAGCATTGCCTACAAATATCATAGCCCAAGATTGATATTTGAAAGTTTGGAAATCTTAAGCTTTTATTTGGTGTCACAGAGAAACAGGATCTGTATCTCTTATTGCTAAGCCTTTGATTCGTTTCAGCTAATTGCCTATATTTGGATATTTAGCTTACTCCAATTCCTTACTTCAAGTATTGATACTTTTGTACATTATAATAAAGATTCCTTTATTCTTAAATCATTGACTAGGGGATTACTATGATTGACTTAAACTATTCAACATTTACTCTTGAACTGGAGAAAAATTTACCTATCTGGAAGATTGGAAGCCCAACTAAAATCAGGATTCTATTAGAAAAAGGAGGAAGGTGAAATGGATTTGGGGTAGGCAAACAACAACGTATTCTATAGTATTCCTACAGACATATCTACAAACACACTTTTTCACGTTTGTATACGTCATTTATTCTCAGATGCATACCTTAGCCACATTTACGACACCATATACTTAAATATATGTTCATGCATATATGCAAGAAACCTAAGCACCACAAATAAAAAATGATGCAAGAGAATATGATAAGATTTTGTGTAGCGGCAAATAACAGAAGCGGGTGAAAACAAGATGAGTGTAAAAGAACGCAGTATGTTAATGGGTGGAAGAGAATGAGGGCAGTGCAGTTGGTAAATGGTTTGACAAATGGAGAAGGTGGTGACTGGGGAGATGACTTTGTGGGAGACTTGAACAGGAAGGAAGGGTCTACAAAAGCAGTTTAAAGAGTGTTTTGTAGGTATAAGGATGGATGCTTAACAGCCATACAAAGTAGACCGAATAGTATAGGCATCATTTCATATGAGTTAGAAGAAATGAACACAAGTTTTTCCTGCATAAAATTAAAACCAGGCCGAGCACAATGGCTCATGCCCATAATCCCAGTACTTGGGGAAGCCGGGAAGGGCAGATCACCTGTAGTCAGGAGTTTGAGACCAGCCTGACCAACATGGTGAAACGTTGTCTCTACTAAAAATACAAAAATAAGCCTGGAATGGTGGCCTATGCCTGTAACCCCAGCTACCCCGGAGGCTGAGGCAGGAGAATCGCTTGAACCTGGGGGGCAGAGGTTGTGGTGAGCAGAAATCACACCATTGCACTCCAGCCTGGGTAACAGAGTGAGACTCCATCTCGGGAAAAAAAAAAAAAAATTAAAACCATTGCACTATTGTGTTAGGATGGATTGTTATGTTAAGGGCAAAATAGTTGCTCAAGGATCACATAGATTGTCATATTGACTGAAATCCATGATTCATCTAGTCTGGATTTCTGTGAAATCTATAAAAATAGATGTCCTTCCTCCCGTCACAGCTAAATGTTAGATCTTAACAGTTTCTCTTCAGGTCCACCTATTATTTTGTCAGCATAAACTTGTTCACCTCTTTTACTATGTTATGACTTTTAAGTATTTTAGCAATACTGAAGGAAATTTAAAGAAAAAAGGCCACAAGAATTTCCTATTTCTAACATCACTGATTTTTTCCACGTTCTTTCCCAGTCTTTATTCACTGTGCATCTAATTTGAACATGTAGATGTTCAGCTCTACGTTTTGCCTCAAATATTATGTCTCAAATATTTTCCATAATGCTACATGGTTTGCCTTTTTAATAATTTTTAATAACATAATCCTACATTTTGATACATTAAAATGCTTCGTTTTATACTATATTTTAATACTGATATAAATGTGACTCTCTCCTTCTGTGCCTAGGTATAGAAGTTGGTCCTCAGCCTCAAGGGGTTCTGAGAGCTGATATCTTGGATCAAATGAGAAAAATGATTAAACATGCTCTCGATTTTATACATCATTTCAATGAAGGTAAGTAAGTAATGAAGGCAACGTCATCAAACTTAACCACCAAACATTTCAATAACAATTGGAGCCTGGGTCAAATTTGCCATGCCAATGATATGAACTGCTTTTTAAAATTTTTATTCACTTCAGCTATTCCTCAATGGCCAGAATAGACACATTCAAGAAAAGCAGCTGCCAAATAAAGACTCCACATTAAATTCTTATTTCCTGTTAATCTCCATTTTAAAAAGAAAAGAAACATGAGAAAATACAAACGCCCAGTAAACATATGAAAAGATGTTCAACATCACTAGTAATTAGAGAAATGCAAATTAAAATAAGAAATCATTTCCCCCATTAGGTTGGGAAAATATTAAAGTCTGCCAGTATCAAGCGTTGGTAAATGTGTAGGAAAAGGGGACACTCTGATTACCTGCTGGTGAACATATAAGTGAACATATAAGTTGGTAAAGACATTTTAGAGGATAATTTTACAGCATCCACTTCTTAAAACACACCAATCTTATTACCCAGCAATTCCACATCTCAAAGAAACACAAGCACAAGCAACATGTTGTTTACAAAGATTGTTATCGTGCATCATTGATAACAGCAAAAGAATGGAAACAGCACGAATGTCCACCTGTTGGTGGACAGTTAAATAAACTCACATGGAAGAATCTTCTAAACACATTGGTAATTAGCAGAAAGCAAACTGCAGACCAAGACATTCAGTATGCCAACTGGCTTTAAAATAATCATCATCATCACCTTCTAGGATACATATATATGTTAACATATCACAGGAAAAGTCTTAGAAGAAAACACACCAAACTGATAACAGTGGTTACCAGGGAGGGGAGGGAAAACCCAGGCTAATTTTGTCTTAATTATATTCAATAAGAATAATGTATTTTTGTATTATTTCTGTAATTAAAAATTAATTAAATGGGGACTGGTGGATGAGGTGGGTATATGGAGCTCTATGTACTATCTGCTGATTCATTTGATAAATCTAAAACTACACTAAAAAGTCTATTAATTATAAAAAATAAGTTTACTTAAAATGGAAAATAAGTGCTTAAAATCAAAGAGGCATTCTATGTAAACAATTATTCCAACAGACTGAGTTGAAATTGTTGAGGAATGGGCAATTATAGTAACAGAGCTGGTGTGCACTTCGGTGTCTGTGGGGAGTAAATTCCTTAACCTCAGATTGTGCATCCTACTGTGATCACAGACATTCCTTTGGTGCTTGGGAATCCTTTGAGTCCAAAATCACGAAAACTGAAAGTCGGCTTTTTACCATCTTTGTCTGAGGTCAGGTTCTATACTGTCTAATGAAACTGGTTTTGAAAAGATCACAACATATTTACAATAAACCCTTTGAATAGTAAGTGTAGGACTACAACATGTTAAGAAGTGACACGTTCAGATAGAAGGCCACAAATCTGGGTGGAAAACATGGTTTTCAGATCATGGTCCGCAGAACCCTATCACAAGGGTGGAGAAAAGCAGTTCCTAGAACACCCTACCCCTCATCTCTGCTTCAGCCAGAGCTCTTCTGTATGTTAGAGCTCTTCTGTATGTTAGAGCTCTTCTGTATGTGAGAGCTCTTCTGTGTAACATTTCACTTAAGCAAAGGATTCTGCAACTCAGAAATTGTCAACCATGATTAATTTAGACTATCCAGCTTGGTGGATTTTCAACTGCACACTCGTATCCAAAGAATGCTGACAAATGAATCATTGCCGCCACGTGAAAAGTCTCAAGAAGTGTGTAGAAGGGCTTCATTCTTGACTCTGTGCTACTCAGAATTGTAGTTAGTGACTTGGATAAAGACATATGTGACATGCTTACCTAAGTGACAGGTCGCAGGAAGATAGCAGGAAAACATCCTGGTTGAGAAGGCAGACCCAAGAAGTCCTGACAATCTTTAACAATTGTTTAAACCAAATATTTAAGGTTAACAACATCAGGGACAAAGTTTTGTTCTTATGTTTAAAAAAAAATCCCAGAATAAGGGAGGTAATGGTCTTTTTTTCTGCCTTGCATAAACAACACTTGAGAACCATAAATAAATTCTGAATCCATAATCCAGGAGAAACATCTATAAAGAGGAACTTAGCCAAGGAGAGCATTGAGAATGTCGAAGAGCTTGAAAACCATATTGAGAATAATTCCTGGCCAGGCGCGGTGGCTCATGCCTATAATCTCTGCACTTTGGGAGGCCAAGGCAGGTGGATCACTTGAGGTCAGGAATTCGAGACCAGGCTGGGCAACATGGGGAAACCTCGTCTCTACTAAAAATGTAAAAATTAGCTGGATGTGGTGGCGTGCACCTATAATTCCAGCTACTCTGAAGGCTGAGGCATGAGAATCGCTTGAACCCAGGAGGCAGAGGGTGCAGTGAGCCGAGATCACACCACTGCACTCCAGCCTTGGTGACAAAGTGAAACTGTCTCAAAAAAAAAAAAAAAAAAAAGAGGAAAGAAAAGAAAGAAGTCTACGTTGGAAAGAAATTCGACATATTTTCTGTGACCCAGAGGGCAGAAGGGAATCAATGAGATAAAGTTACCTAGAGACAGAATTTTTTTTTTTTTTTTTTTTTTTTTTTTTTTTTGAGACAGGGTCTCACTCTGTTGCCCAGGCTGGAGTGCAGTGGTGCAATTATGGCTCACTGGAGCCTCAAGCCCCTGGGCTCAAGCAATCCTCCCACCCAGCCTCCTGAGTTGCTGGGACTACAGGCGTGTGCCACCACACCCAGCTAATTTTTGTGGTTTTTGTAGAGATGGGGTTTTGCCATGTTGCCCAGGCTGGTCTCAAACTCCTAAGCTCAAGCAATCTGCCTGCCTCGGCTTCCCAAAGCATTGGGGTTACAAGCCTGTGCCATTGCGCCCGGCGAGACAGAAGTTTCTTACTAACAAAGCTGAGCAGCAATGGAACGGGCCACACTTTGTGAGGTTGTAAGAAGTCATCTTACTTCTGCGGCTGTAAGATGGCCAGAATGATACGGAGAATACTCAAACATAGATGGAAGTTAGGCTTTCAAGACTCCTTCCAACCGTAAGTAGCAAAAACATACTCCTTTGTGTTCTATCAGTTTTTACTTTCTTCCTATCGAGCTTTCTGGCTTAAAGAAATGAGATCTGGTAAGTTCCCATCTTCATCTCGGAAGGTGTGGTAGATTTTAATTCTTCCCTTTCCTGCATCCACATCCTGACAGTGTGATGTTTCGTATCCTTCTGTTCAGAGAAAGAGTCTATTTTTCCACTCCTGGAATAGCTGGCTTGCCCACATGACTTGTTTTGTGCTGTAGAAGAGGCTTGAAAAGCACTGCACATTGGAGCTTGCTTTCTTCCTGCTCTTGGAAACCCTGTACATGTACCATTATGTGCCACAGCCCACACTGGCCTGCTGGATAGTGAAAGCCTTTGAGGTGGAAAACTCAGGCACCCTAACAGACAGTCACACAACTCCAGCTGACAGACATAAGAGTGAGGCCATCCCATAGGATCCAGCCTCCAGGCGAGCTGTCAGCTTACCACAAAGGCAGAAGCAAAATAATCAAAAATCCACAAAGCCAGTGTAGACGGAAGAAACTTTCCAACCAACCCACAGAATCATGAACTAAATTAAGAGGTAGTTGTTTGAAGCCACTAAATTCTGGGGTAGCATGTTATGCAGCAGAAGCTAACTGATACAGAAGTGATCACTGGGTATCTCCATTCTAACTCTGCTCTAAAGGCAAAGGAAGGCTTTCCTTTGAGTTGTGACCATAACACGCTATGGGCCCTACATTGGACCAAAAGTTCACCCTGTGTGCTCAGAGACAGCCTGGTATGTATGTAAACTACTCCTTTTCCAAGTTTCTAGGAATTGGGTTGTTTGATGTTGCTGCATCTTTGGAAGCTGGTGTCCACCCCAGCAGGCTTGGACAGATCTTGCAGAACTTGCATCGCAAGATCCCACTACTCAGGAGCTGTCCAAGTGTTTAATGTACTTAGTTAAGAAAAAGAGGCCAGGCGCGGTGGCTCACGCCTGTAATCCCACCACTTTGGGAGGCTGAGGCAGGCGGATCACAAGGTCAAGAAATCAAGACCAGCCTGACCAACACGGTGAAACCCCGTCTCTACTAAAAATACAAAAATTAGCCAGGTGTGGTGGCAGGCGCCTGTAGTCCCCGCTACTCAGGAGGCTGAGGCAGGAGAATCGCTTGAACCCGGGAGGTGGAGGTTGCAGTGAGCCGAGATCACACCACTGTACTCCAGCCTGGGCGACAGAGCGAGATTCCATCTCAAAAAAAAAAAAAAGAAAGAAAGAAAAGAAAAGAAAGAAAAAGAGCACAAGACTGAAGCACCGGCCGGGCGCGGTGGCTCAAGCCTGTAATCCCAGCACTTTGGGAGGCCGAGGCGGGCGGATCACAAGGTCAGGAGATCGAGACCACAGTGAAACCCCGTCTCTACAAAAAACAAAAACTAGCCGGGCGAGGTGGCGGGCGCCTGTAGTCCCAGCTACTCAGGAGGCTGAGGCAGGAGAATGGCGGGAACCCGGGAGGCGGAGCTTGCAGTGAGCCGAGATCGCGCCACTGCACTCCAGCCTGGGCAACAGCGTGAGACTCCGTCACAAAAAAAAAAAAAAAAAAAGACTGAAGCACCTTAGCTTCTGGAACTCCTCCTGAAAATATGCAGTCATAAAACATCATAGCTGGAAGGGTCCTCCAAGATAAACTAATCCAAGACCTTCATTTGATAGGTCAAGAAAGGGAGCCTCAAGAAGTTAAGCATCTTGTTCAAGGCCACATAGCCAGGGGATTAGAGCCCAGGTCTCCTGACCCCCAGACCCAGATTCTTTTTCTCCCCAACTGGCTTTTTCAGTTCTGTTTTCTGCCTCTGTCTTCGGCGTGTTTGTGGACAGGGTGCTCACAGGAATCATTCAAGGACATCTTTTGGCCTGGTACCATTTATGAACATCCTTAACTAAACGTTATCTGTTCTCCTCATCGCTGTCTTCATTTTGTTACTGTTGTTGTTGTTATTATTGTTTCTTCCTTACATTATCAACTTCCCTTTTTCCAGAATTTTTTTTTTTTTGAGACAGAGTTTCGCTCTTGTTGCCCAGGTTGGAGTGCAATGGCTCACTGCAACCTCCACCTCCCAGGTTCAAGAGATTCTCCTGCCTCAGCCTCCCGAGTAGCTAGGATAATCCCAACCCAGGTATTTTTAGTAAAGACGAGGTTTCACCATGTTGGTCAGGCTGGGCTCGAACTCCCGACCTCAGGTGATCCACCCGCCTTGGTCCCCCAAAGTGCTGGGATTACAGGTGTGAGCCACCGCAGCCGGCCCAGAGATTTTTTTTAGTTGCCATTGATACATATTGCTTTTGTCATAGGAAAAGAATTTCCTCCCTGTGCCATTGAGGTCTACAAAATTATAGAGAAAGTTGATTATCCCAGGGATGAAAATGGAGAAATTGCTGCTGTCATCCATCCCAATCTGCAGGTAACATTTGTTCTTTCTTTAAAGTGTTGAAAGTAACAATGCTGTACCTTTGAACGGAAGTTTACAGCTCACACAGCACTTCGCGCACATTCACCCATTTGATGTCTCAAAAGACACCGAGCGTAGGCAGGGAAGATGTTCGGACAGTCGTTCAATAAATACTTATGAAGTGTAACCTGTGCTGGCTGTGTGGACACATCAGTGTAGGTACGGTCTACACTCGCAATGGAATTTCTAGTGTAGGTACACGAAAGTCTAAGTTGCAGTCTAGAAATGAAGATAGCCAGATGCAATGACAGAATAATGAGGTAGAAGAGGATTGCTCAGACAAGGCTGCTTAGAGAAAGTGAAATTCCTACTCACATTCAACGGGTAGGAATTATGATGTCTATGTTAATAGAAGGAAATACAGGGCCGGAAGTTAGATCCTTCCCATAGCCATTTAGCTATCAAGGACAGATCCCGAGTTAGTGCTCTTTGCAGTTGGCCACATTGCTTGCTACCTCCCTGTGACAGAATAAGTTAAACAACTGTAACCTCTTTCTTCTGCCACCATTCCCCGACTCTCCTCAGAACCCCAGAATCTACTCCTTGCCTAGTTTTATCAATAATGACATAGTGAAGAAGGGGGAAAAAAAAAAAAGGCTCTTGAGAGAATGTAGGAGGTTTATTTTTATTTATTTATTTTTTTTTTTTGAGACGGAGTCTGGCTCTGTCGCCCAGGCTGGAGTGCAGTGGCTGGATCTCAGCTCACTGCAAGCTCCGCCTCCCGGGTTTGCGCCATTCTCCTGCCTCAGCCTCCCGAGTAGCTGGGACTACAGGCGCCCGCCACCTCGCCTGGCTATTTTTTTTGTATTTTTTAGTAGAGACGGGGTTTCACCGTGTTAGCCAGGATGGTCTCGATCTCCTGACCTCGTGTTCCGCCCGTCTCGGCCTCCCAAAGTGCTGGGATTACAGGCTTGAGCCACCGCGCCCGGCCAAGAATGTAGGAGGTTTAAATCCAGAAAAGGCAAAGGGAAAAGGAGAGAAGAACAGATTTCCAAAGCCGAAGAATCCACTCCCCAGTGCGAGTGCCCTGCACACTCCCAGACCTCAGAGATGGAGGAGAACCTGGTGGATTATCCAGTCTGGGGCTTTCAACCCTCACTAACCTTTACGTAGAGAGCGTTTAAAAAACATAATAATAGCAATGGCAGGACTCCACTTTGAGATACTCTGATCTTTCTGGCTTGGATAATCAGGGTTGAAAAGCACTGATTGATCCAGTTCCTATCCCTGTTTAGTGACTCCAATAGTCATCCAGACTTGCAACTGAATGGAGTGGCCTCTGCCCAGTAATACAGACGAGTGAAGCAAATCCTGCTTTGTGGCTTAATGGGACCCAGGTGGAAACCTGAAGAAGGAGCCTTAGGCAGCGTTTGTTTTTGTTTTTTGAGACGGAGTCTCACTCTGTCACCCAGGCTGGAGTGCAGTAGCGCCATCTCGGCTCACTGAAAGCTCCGCCTCCTGGGTTCAAGTGATTCTCCTGCTTCAGCCTCCCGAGTAGCTGGGATTACAGGCTCAGGTCACCACAACCGGCTAAGTTTTGTATTTTTAGTAGAGATGGGGTTTCATCATGTTGGCCAGGATGGTCTCGATCTCCTGACCTCGTGATCCACCCGCCTTGGCCTCCCAAAGTGCTGGGATTACGGGCGTCAGCCACCGCGCCCGGCCTTAGGCAATGTTTTAAAGGAAAGGTAAAGACTGGGGGAGAGAAAGGAAGAAAGCACTATTGGTGACAAAAATATCAAGTACAAGAAACAGAGGCCAGGGTGATGATGTCATGGCAGGCTAAAACAGGATTTTTCAGGTTTTAGGATACTCTTGAGGAGTACAAAAATAATCCCGGGCAGATGGAGAAGTGAGATGAATGAGATCAGTAGCAGACTGGGCTAGTGGTAGGTCTTGAAAGTTAGGAAGGATGGTTTTGATTTGACAGACAATAAGGAATGGCTCAGTATTCTACAGGAGGGATTGATTGGTTAATTCTTCCAACAAGTATTTTTGAATGACAGCTAAGCTCATTCTGCGCCCTGAGATTCAAGATAGGGAAGGTTCCTCATGGAGCTTCCATCCCAATGGGTGAGGAGAACTGACCATGAGTAATAAACAATATGTAAACCAAATCATTTCAAACTGTAATAAGTGCTATAAAAGAAATAATATAAAAGAATAATATAGCAGAGGTTATAACAAAGAGTTCCAGTTAGACGGAGTGGTCACAAAGTGCCATCTCAGAGATGGTGGCACTGAAGTTGGAACCTACAAGATGAGAAGCCAGCCATGTGGAAGGCTAGTGAAAGGGCCTGAGGCTGGAACAAACTTGGAGCACTTCAGGAACAGCAAGAAGACCCATGTCCCTGGAGAGTAGGAGTGAGCAGAGGACGGTAGAGCCTAGAGAAAACACACAGTCCGAGACCCGGTTATGAGTCTAGATTTTGTCCTAAGACTGATAGTTATTACTAAGGGATGCTCATCGGAATCACGTAGGGGACCCCCTCCCAATGCCTAGAACCCACCACAAACTACTAACGTAGCACTTCTCAAACTCGAGCCACGTGACAATTACCTGGGGAGCTTTTTTAAAATGCTGATTCCTGGCCAGGAGCAGTGGCTCGTGCCTGTAATCCCAGCGCTTTGGGAGGCCAAGGTGGGCAGATCATGAGGTCAGGAGATCGAGACCATCCTGGTTAACACAGTGACACCCCATCTCTACTAAAAATATAAAAAATAAACTGGGCGTGGTGGCGGGCGCCTGTAGTCCCAGCTACTCGGGAGCCTGAGGCAGGAGAATTGCTTGAACTCGAGAGGCGAAGGTTGCAGTGAGCCGAGATTGTGCCACTGCACTCCAGCCTGGACAGAGTTGAGACTACGTCTGGAAAAAAAAAAAAAAAATGCTGATTCCTGAGTCCTATTCCCAGCTCTGATCTAATTCATCAGGGTGTAGACAGGGAATCAGTTGAGTTCACCAGATGATTTTCATGTGGCTCAGGTCTGGGTAGCACTGCACGACATCAGGATCTCCGCAGGTGGAGCTAGCCAGACGTGTGTTGAAGAAGTTCCGTTAGTGACTCTGGGGCAAGTCTCTGCCTGAAAACCACCAGTTCAGAGAAACAGTTCTCAGCCGAGCCACCCTGTAAATCATCTGGGGCCTCAATACAATAAACACAGAAAACAGTGAACTATGAATGGGTAGCATGACGGATTCAAGGAGGCGGGTGAAAGAAGTCCGTATCCGGATGGCATGGTTGCAGGTTGTATGACTCCATGCTCTGCATATGTCCAAACTCACAGATCTGTACACAACAATGAGTGAATTTCACTGTATGTAAATTTTAAAATAAAATTTAAAAAGAATGCTGCCTAGGCCCTCCTCAGAGATTCTGAGTTGATTTATCTGAAATGGGCCGGCCCCTCTCCCTGTATATATGTATTTAACATCCCAGGCGATGATAATGTGCCACCAGGATGGAGAAAACTGCTGTGATGCGGCACTTCTCGAACGTTAACGTTGTACACGTGAATGTCGGGGACCTGTTAACCTGAAGATTTCGATTGGGCAGGTCTGCTGCGCCTAACGAAATCCTGCCTTTCTAACAAGCTCCGGGGTGATGCGGATGCTGCTGGGAAATGTTGGAAATGCAGAATCCCAGGCCCCCCACCCCCGACCTATAGAATCAGAATCTTCATCTTAACACAATCCCCAGATGATGTGCAAGCACCTCAAAGTTTGAGAAGAACTGTTCTGGGGTTCCTGTGGTGTGACGGCCACGGTGCTTGAGGGTGCAGAGGTCCAAATGCCTGGTGCAGGACCGTTCAGGGAACTCAGACGTGACTCTAATGCAGGACACATTTGGAATACACCCACCTTGTCTCAGACTCTCCCCAGCCCAGCACCACCTTCTCTCACCAATCCCTATCAGAATAGAATCTCCTTGCATGCAGGTACGACATGGCTCATCTTTATATTTCCCAACAGTAGAACATCTTGCACACAGAAGACTCTTAATGGATATTTCCTACATTTTGCTGAACAGAATTTAACTTGAGCTGGCAACAGGCAGACTATGCACTTAGGTAGACATGCATTTCATTTTGCCTTTTAATATTATAAATCTCTTTGGCTACATTCAAGGTAACCCTGGTATTGAAGCAAACTACTTTTTATTTTTTTCAGATGCAGGGTCTCGCTCTGTCGCCCAGGCTGGAGTGCAGTGGTGTGAACACAGCTCACTGCAGCCTCGCCCTCTGGGGGCTTGAGCATTCCTCCCACCTCAGCCTCCTGAGTGTCTGGGACTACAGGCATGCACCACCACACACAGTTAATTTTTTGTATTTTTTCTAGAGCTAGGATCTCTATGTTGCCCAGGCTGGTCTTGAACTCCTAGGCTCAAGCGATCCGCCCACATCGGCCTCCCCAAGTGCTGGGATTACAGGCGAGAGCCACTGCACCTGGCTGAAGCAAATGTTAATTACATGTGTCAGTTATACAAATTCAAAGGGGAACTCTTCAAACTACTGCCAAATTTCATGACCCAATTTCAGCGCAGTCAGATCACTTGCCTGCATCTCGATGCCTCGCTCAAGTATCTCTTTTAAAACAACAGAATACTGTAATGTGTTAGTTGTCTAGAGTCTGACATAAATTTTTAGAGGAGAAAAACCAAATGTAATGTGTATTTTGATTGTTTCCTGAGAGGATCAAGACTGGAAACCACTGCATCCTGGGGATCCCATGTTTTTAACTCTCGATGGGAAGACGATGCCATTGGGCGGAGACTGTATCGTGTACCCCGTGTTTGTGAACGAGGCTGCATATTACGAAAAGAAAGAAGCCTTTGCAAAGACAACTAAACTAATGCTCAATGCAAAAAGTATTCGCTGCTCTGTACATTAGAAATCACTTCTAGCTCACATCTTACACAGTGTCTTACAAATTCTGCTAGTTTGTAAGCTCCTCAAGAGCAGGGTTGTGCCTTATTCAACTGCATTCATAGCTCCTAGCACAGTGCCTTATTCGGTAGGCATCCAAGCAAATTTCTTAAATTAATTAATATATCTTAAAGGTACCATATTTTATGTATGTAGCTTATTCAAAGAAGTGTTTCCTATTTCTGTAGAGTTTATTATACATTATACTTGGGTAGCTCAACATTCTTAATCAACAGCCTTTGTATTCAGAATATAAAATTGAAATAGATATATATATAAAGTTATTTTATTGTGCTTTGCTTTATTGCACTTCACAGATAACTGTATTTTTTTTTTTACAAATTGAAGGTTTTGGGCAACCCTGTGTCTAGAAAGTCTAACAGTGCCATGTTTCCAACAGCATGTACTCACTCCTTGTCTCCTTGATAATAGCTTGATATTTCAAGCTTTTTTTATGATTTCTTATATCTGCTATGGTGATCTGTGATCGGTGGCCTTTGATGTTACTGTTGTTAAGTGTTTTGGGGGCACCATGAATTGTGCCCATGTGAGACTGTGAACTTAGTGAAGGTTGTGTGTGTTCTAACTGCTCTACTGACCGGCCATTTCCTTGTCTCTCTCCCTGTCCTCCGGCCTCCCTATTCCTTAAGACACAATAATTAATAACTCTACAACAGCCTCTATGTGTTCAAGTAAAAGAAAGGGTCATACTTGTAAAAATTAAGCTTAGTGAGGAAGGCATGTCAAAAGCTAAGACAGGCGGAAAGCTAGGCCTCTTGCACCAGTTAGCCAAGTTGTGAATTCAAAGAAAAAGATCTTGAAGAAAATTAAAAATTCTACTCCACTGCACACACACAAATGATAAGAAAGCAAAACAACCTTATTGCTGATGTGGAGACAGTTTTAGTGGCCTGGATAGAAGATCAAACCAGCCACAACTTTAAACCAAAGCATGACCCAGAGCAAGGCCCTAACTCTCTTCAATTCTGTGAAGGCTGAGAGAGGTGAGGAAGCTGCAGGAAGCTGGCAGAGGTTGGTTCACCAGGTTTAAGGAAAGAAGCCAGCTCCAAAGCCTACAAGTGGAAAGTGAACCAGCAAGTTGCTGATGTGGAAGCAAGTTATCCAGAAGATGTAACTAAAATCATTGACAAAGGTAGCCACACTAAACAGATCTTCAGTGTAGTTCAAACAGCCTTCTATTGAAAGAAGATGCTATCTAGAACTTTCCTAGCTAGAAAAGAGAAATGAATGCCTAGCTTCAAAGCTTCAAAGGACAGGCTGACTCTCTTAAGAGCTAATACAGCTGGTGACTTCCAGTTAAAGCCAATGCTCATTAACTGTTTCAAAAACCCTAGAACTCTGTTTTGTTTTTGTTTTTGTTTTGTTTTTTTGAGATGGAGTCTCGCTCTGTTGCCCAGGCTGGAGTGCAGTGGCGCCATCTTGGCTCACTGCAAGCTCTGCCTCCTGGGTTCACACCACTCTCCTGCCTCAGCCTCCCGAGTAGCTGGGACTACAGGCGCCTGCCACCATGCCCAGATAACTTTTTGTATTCTTTTAGTAGAGACAGGGTTTCACTGTGTTAACCAGTATGGTCTCGATCTCCTGACCTCGTGATCCGCCCACCTCGGCCTCCCAAAGTGCTGGGATTACAAGCGTGAGCCACCGCACCTGGCCCAAAAATCCTAGGACTCTGAAGACTCATGCTAAACTGCTGTGCCTGAGCTCTATAAATGGAAGAACAAAGCACCGCTGGCAGCACATCTGTTTGTGGCATGGTTTACTGTATATTTTAAGCCCATTGTTGAGAGCTACTGCTTGGAAAAAGAAAAAAAAAGATTCCTTTCAAAACATTACTGCCGATTGACAATATACCAGGTTACCCAAGAGCTCTGCTGGAGATATGCAAAGAGATTAGCGTCGTTCTCATGCCTGCTAACACGACATCCGGCCGAAGCCCGTGGATCAAGGTGTCATTGTGACTTTCAAATCTAACTATTTAAGAAATACATTTCAGGCTGGGGGAGGGGAGAAAAAAGAAGAAAAAGAAAGGAAGAAAAAAAAACATTTCATAAAGCTATAGCTGCCATAGATAGTGATCCCTCTGAGGGAGCCGGGCAAAGTAAACAGAGAACCTTCTGGAAAGGATTCAGCATTCTAGATGCCATTAAGAACATTCAGGATCCGTGGGAGGAGATCAAAATATCAACATTAACAGGAGTTTGGAAAAAGTGAATTCCAACCCTCTTGGATGACTCTGAGGAGTTCAAGACTTCAGTGAAGGAAGCCATGCAGATGTGACAGCAAGAGAATGAGAAGTGGTGCCTGAAGATGTAACTGAATTGCTGCAATCTCATGATCGCACTTGAATGGATGAGGAGTTGCCTCTTACAAATAAGCAAAAAAGTGGTTTCTTGAGATGGAATCTACTCTCGTTGCAGATGCTGTGAACATTGTTGAAATGACAAAGGATTTAGAATATTACATAAACGTAGTTGATAAAGCAACAGCAGGGTTTGAGAGGGCTGACTCCTCCTAATTTGAAATGAGTTCAGTTGGGTGAAGTGGCTCATGCCTGTCATCCCAGCACTTTGGGAGGCCGAGGCAGACAGATCACCTGAAGTCAGGAGTTCGAGACCAATCTGTCCAACATGGTGAAACCCCCTCTCTACTAAAAATACACAAATATTAGCCAGGTGTGTGGCGCATGCCTATAGTCCCAGCTACTTGGGAGGCTGAGGCAGGAGGATCACTTGAACCCATGAGGCAGAGGTTGCAGTGAGCAAAGACTGCATCACTGCACTCCAGCCTGGTGGACACAGCGAGCTTCCATCTCAAAAAAAAAAAAAAAAAGAAAGAAATGAGTTATACTGTGAGTAAAATGTTATTAAACAGCATTTCATGCTACAGGGAAATCTTTCATGAAAGGAAGAGTCAATCAATGAAGCAAACCCCACTGTTGTTTTATTTTAAGAAATTGTCACAGCCATCCCAACCCTCAGTGCCCACCGCCCTGATCAGACAGCTGTCATCAAGGCAAGGCCCTCCACCAACAAAAAGATCATGAATTGCTGAAAGCTCAAATGATCATTAGCCTTTTTAGCAATAAAGTATTTTTAATGACGGAATGTACATGTTTTAAACATAATGCTATTACACATTTAACATACTACGTATAGTGCGAGCATAACTTTTACATATACTGGAAAATAAAAAAATGTGTGTGGCTCATCTGTTGTAGTATTTGTTTTATTGTGGTGATCTGGAGCCAAGGCTGAAATATCTCTGAGGTATGCCTGTAATGTGTAAGTGCTAGTAGAAACAAGTTGTGCAGGCTTGCTATTTTTTTCAATTTTTATATTTGGGCTAATAGTAATATACTAAGTGTCCAGCCTATAAACTTCAGCATTCGTTGCAAAATCCAGAGGAGACTTTCAAGTGCTGTTTTGTGGATGAAATATGAAAGAGAAACGAGGGCTTAATGGTAAAGATGGCATATGACTATATTAAGAAACTGAATGGCCCTTTGTCCACAAACACACAGTAACCCACACAGCATTGCTACTGCGGCATGCCCCCGGCTCTGCACTGACCTCATGGAGCAGAAAGCCTCCTTCAGACACCTCACGCACCCCCTGAGGAGCTAATGTTTCTTCCCAACATGAAAAATTTGTAAGAGGCCTATTCTTCACAGCTGTCACTTCTCATTTTGAAAGAATATGCCCACCTTATTCCAAGCAAGGTGTGAGGAGGTCTTTGGGCTCCAGATGTTGCCAGCAGAGGTGGTGAAAGTCAGTAACAGGGCAGTGGACACGCATAGAAATGTGACCCACAGCTCTGGTTTGCAAATACAGTCTTTCAAGAAATCCTGCCACATCCTAAATGCCCAAATCCCTTGCCTCCCATGATTCTTCTCCTCAAAGGACCTTCTACCGGACGCTGCCCCGTCCCTCTCCAGCTCCACAAGGGCCCTCCCCGCCATCCTCTTAGTCCACAGCAGCCAATAAACAGCGTTTTTATTCCATGATCTGTACCCCCAATGAATCCATAATCATAGTTTCAAATGTATTTCCCAAACATACTAACATTATCTGGAATGAATGAATGAATAAATAAATATTACATATTTATACGTTTTCATTCTTCCAAAGTGAACCCCACTAAGCCAATTTTACTCCATATTCAGTGTTCTGGAAAGCACATATTGTTTCTAAATTTTTCAACGTTTTTTTCTATTTTTGTACTTTACCGAAATTATTTGCATTGGAACAAACTCCCTTCCTTCTGAATTCTGTAGTAAAAATGTGATGCATCAGCTTCTGTAGCTAAGTTTTACCAAGTTTCCTTCCCCTGCTGTGAATGTTCCATTGTTTTATTTCTGAGTCCAATTTTTCTAGGTCAGCTTTTTCCAGATGTAAATTTTGGCAAGAATACTTTATTCTTCCCTCAAATTTTAGTGATTTGTAAAATTTACAACATACAATTTATATCACTGTGATTTCAGTCAGTTTCAGGATTGATTATTCCTATCAAGTCTAATTTTCCCTTTTACAGTCTTTAAAGTTTCTAATTAGATGTGTGGTTGGTTTGTTTGGTTTTTTTAATCTATAATATATTGCTCTGTGGTTTTAGCCACTTTGAGTTTTATTTTACTTTGATTATTTCTAACCATCTACATTTGTATTTTTTCTCATTTATAAAATGGGAATGATCATAATAATAGTGCCCCTTTCATGGGGTTACTATGAGGATTAAGTGGGCTAAGACATATAAGCACTTAGCCCAGTACCTAGAGCAGAATACCTACTTAACAAACCATTGAAGTTCAAATTCCTAGCATGAAAGGCCCTTCCTGATCTGCCCTCCCTTCCCGAGACCTCCCTACACTTGTCTCCCTTTGGACCATCTCCGCTGTGGTGTCCTTCCCACCGTTTATTCCTCTAGGCCTTCACATAGACTGACTCCCCTACCTAGAATTTACCCCCACTGTCCTGCACCTTCCACCCCACTCAGACTGTGCTCCAACTAATAATGCCTGTTTCTCCTTCAAAATGCAACCCAACTTTCATTTCATAGCCAACATCTTCTTGGTCTTCGTCTACCTGACTTCGTTGCCACTTTGCCCCTCTTTCTATCCCATCTTGAGGGCATTAGCAGTGTCTTTTTCGAATGTCTACAATCTAGTAAGTGATCAATAGAGGTGAGTTGAATAAATGAGCATGCTCAAACACCCCTTTCTCTACTGAAACATCTTCGTCTTCCACCAATGGCCCTGCCTTCTTTTTATCTTCCCTTCCCAGTCACTTCCTGAGAATTGTCCCCATCACTCCCAAGTGAAACACTTCGTTCTACACCATCCAGACTGTTACCATGTCCCAAAGGACAGTGGAAGGAAAACACACCCATTTAAGTCTGCAAATCCATGGGAAAAAAAAAAAAAGGAAATTTTTTTTCCTTTTGCCCAGGCTCTTATTGCCCAGGCTGGAATGCAATGGCATGATCTTGGCTCACTGCAACGTCCGCCTTCTGGGTTCAAGCGAGTCTCCTGCCTCAGCCTCTGGAGTAGCTGGGATTATAGGCATGCACCACCACGCCCAGCTAATTTTGTATTTTTTCAGTAGAGACAGGGTTTCTTCATGTTGGTCAGGCTGGTCTCGAACCCCTGACCTCAGATGATCTGCCCACCTTGGCTTCCCAGAGTGCTGGGATAACAGGTGTGAGCCACCATGCCAGGCCAAAACAAGGAAATGTTCACACTCAGCAATTCCCCTGTTTAAAATCCTTTGGTGGCTTCTTACCCTTGTTATGAGATCTCAAAGCCTCACCACAGCTGTCCTACATGCACTGGCCTCTGCCCACCCCTCTAGCCTTATTTCATGTCACTTGGCCCCTTGCTCCCAGCAATTTGGCCACATAAGACTTTTCCAGTCCTCAGATGCACGAAGTTCCCTACTACCTTTGGGTCTTTGCCCACATTTTCCCACTTACTGAAACCCTTCCCCTTCTCCACACTCCCATTAGCTAAATGACCCTTACTCTTTATGACTCAGGCTAGGTGAGGCCACTCTGTCACACAAGCTTATTGACAGTACTAGACTGGCCCTTACCCAAATTGCAACCGTAATGCGTTATGACACTAGGGCAGGGAAAGTTACTGTTGGTCTCTTTGATTAAACTGCAAAAGCTCCAAGAGAGCAGTGATAGCATTTGTCTTACTCTTTGTCATACCCACAGCACTTAATGCATAGAAGGAGCTCAGTACATTTTGCTGGATAAATGAGAGTTGATCTGCTGAGTGTAAAGCTATCTGGAAGGGCTTATTTGGAAGAGTGGGGTGTCACTTCCTTCACAAGGGTGACCCCAAGATAGCCACTGGAGACCACAGAGGGTGGGAATGGTGAACCACGTACAGTCAGTGCTCCAATAGGAGAAGCAAATGAAAAGTGGCAGCTGGGGAAACTCTGAAGCCTGAGAGTCCCATGGGGGTGACCAGGGCCATGATGCTGGGAGAGAGACCTATACAGGTCATGCATGTTCCAGGGCAGCAGGAACAGGGCCTGTATTTGCATATTTGCATATCCAACAAAAGATCCATATTTGCATATCCAACATTTGCATATCTGCATATCCAACAAAAGGCCTGTATTTGCATATCCAACAAAAACAGAGTCTGAAGGGAAATAGCTGCTTAGGGGTGTTTGTCTGTTTGGGACGGGGTCTCACTCTGTCACCCAGGCTGCAGTGCAGTGGCATGATCTCAGCTCACCGCAGCCTCCACCTCCCAGGTTCCAGCTATTCTCCTGCCTCAACCTCCCCGGCAGCTGGGA